TTTACAGCTCCGGCCGCCACACGATGAGTATTAGAGCCGATATTATTTTCTCTGCGCATTGTTCGCATCACAGAGATTAAGGCAAGACGAGTGCTTTGTGCAGCCACTTGTGCTGGAAAGTGGGCTCTTTCTAATACTGTTAAAAAAGTCGGCAGGGCCATGTTCATGAATTATAATGGACACTAAAGGTTTGCCTGCTCTGGCATGTGTGAGAGAGATAGCTTTACATTTCATCATTGATTTTCTAAGCACTTATTTTACCATAGTCACTTACTTGACAAGTTGTCATACATTTTTTTAACTTTAAAATAAACATTAAAATCAAAATGGACACTATTACTTTTTAAAGGTAGGGTAGGCAATTTTTTTATAAAAACGTTTTTGTTATACTGGTTGAAACTCTTTACATCCTAATAGCAATCAATAATATAAGTGGTCTTAATTGGGGGTGTAAATCGGACAGTTCATCACGATACGATATGATATCGATTCTCTCAGCCAGCGATACGATATTTGCTGATACCTCAAACATTCTGTGATACGATTACGATTCGATTCAGGGCTATATCGATCGATTTATCAATATTTAGATATTATGTGCCAAGTTTACACAACCAGTTACATTTCTATTAACTCACAAATGCAACCAAAATATATAACATGAACGTTTAATTAAACTCTTTGAAAATTGCACACCCTCTCCCAATTGGGACATTTACAACAGAAGAGTTCATTTGTAAAAAAACAGATAACTTGGTTCTTGTTCATTTTCATAAATCATGTTTTTTTTTATTATTATTATTGTGCATTCCAAGTAATATCAATCAAACTGCAGCTGGGTTGTTTTGATTAAGTAATAATAACTCAAAAAATACAGGTAACTTACAAAATTAAAGTTCATTGAAAGTATATTTTTTAGGTAACACTTTATTTGAAGGGGTGTGCATAAGACTGACATGACACTGTCATAAACATGACATAACACCTGTCATGAACATGAAGGAGTCTTTATGAATGTTTATGACTATTGTCATTAACTGTCATTCGGTAAATTATGACACTTTTAATGCAAAGTAGACATTGTTTAAAATGTCTTTGTTATGAAAAGGTCCAGTGAATGGGCCCTCCCCAAATCTGCAATAGGCTACTCATATCATGCGTGTGCTATCTCTCTCCTAACACATACGTTTTGACTTACTCAGTGATGGGGTCTATTTACAGACACACACACACACACACACACACAGGGCTCTCAAGTGTCACGCATTGAGCATGACAGTCACTCATTTCGGTCTTTTGTCACGCACTCCCGCCACACATTGTATTTCTCACGCGGAAAAACGATTTATAATATATTTAATATGCCGCTGCGCCCAAAATGTCTCTGGCCGCGCCGCTGTCCCTTTGGACCCGGCAGGAATCAAGCGCGTCTCCCCTGTGTTGTTCGTCGAGCTACACAAAAGCCAATCAGAAAATAGCACTATTGTATCTGGGTATGATTTAACGCAACAACCAATGAAAAAAAAATGAAAATTGTCATGAAACAGCTCATTCCCGCGACCTGTCTGTCCAATATCTAATGGTCTGTTCACACCGAACGCATATTTAATTATTTGCGCGAGTAGATTAGGCTACATACAAAGTCAATGCAAAGACTCGAATAGACGCATCATTCGCGCCGGGCGTTGCGAATGACGCGAATTGGGTGACGCTTTTGCCGCGAACGTCTTCCGCGCAAGTTGAAAAATTTGACCTCGAGCGAATGTTCAAGCGTCTAACTAGACGCGATAGCTCTATTCGCGTTCGGTGTGAACACACCATAAGGCTGCCACTCTGCAGAAGCAAATTCCATCCTATCTTCGATATGTTGTAGTAGTTTTAGCCGGACAGTGCACATGACATGAAATATTCTCTCAGTCCTCGCGCATCTGATAAGGCCTCATTAGATCATTTACAGGACGATTTTAGGCAATCGATTGCTTCAATCACACTGGGGAGATGGTGAGCAATAGGTCTTACTTTTTCTTTTACTGTCTATGGTCTTACCGTGTCAATTCGCGCACTCCATCGTGTGTCACTCACTTGGTTATTATTGCTCACTTGCGCTGCTGACCGCGAAGGCGCGAACTGCCACGAAGCACTGGCGTTTTGACTTACGTACAACAAAAAATAGCCTACTCAGGCCATTTTCAGGAGAGGGGTGTTTCATTATGACACAGGCTACATTTTACTCAAGCAACATTAAATAAAATGCATTTTTTTCTCACTTTCAACAATAAATGGTGCTATTTTGGTTAAAAATAAAATATGGTAACCTTTGCTTATATTTAGGATGAACATAATTATTGCTGGACTGCATGGGCCCCCCCCCCCTAGCGGCTGGGCCCCAGAAAACGTTCCCCTTTATCCCCCCTTATGGACGGCCCTGGCCTTGTCACCTGACCTGAATACTGCGCGCTGACTTAACGGGTTGTGTTCACAAACAACAAGGGTGCTTGTCGGTTTCTGCTGTAAAACATGAACTCGCAATGCCTTGACTTTTTTGATCGATGCATCGATCCTTATCAATGTATTGTTACACCCCTAGTCTAAATGTTAAAACATGTATATTAAATCGGATGTCATACCTGCCTCTAAACATGTATTATCATACCTCCGCACACCTGCTCGCGCAGAAATCACACGTCATCAGCACGTTTCATGCTATGCAGAGTTGTAGACCGACAGTCGCTGAGAGTCACAAACAAACAGCAGCCGCCTACAAGATGGCAACCCGTGATGTTCTACTCTGAGCTGTCCACGTCCTCAGATTCAGATTTATGAGTTTCTATGTCAACACTATCAACGCCGAAATGAATCTGCAGCAGTCAGTGCATTAACTAATGTTAGCAGATACAACTTTTAATCTTAGAAATGTAGTAGTAAATGTTGAGATTAACATTAGGATTAATAAATGCTGTAGAAGAATTGTTCATTCTTAGTTTATGTTAACTAATGTTCATTTCACCTTAACAAATGAAACCTTATTGTAAAGCTCATATGCTGGACTCTCAAGGTTAAACTGATGTGATTTTTTTTTTTTCCTCCAATGAATGGCTTGTTTCTTCTTTTTGTTGGGATTGGACTTCAGTTGTCTGTAAGCCAGTTGAAAACCTCAACCCCTTCTCTTTAGTTCTTCAAAAAGAATCCTCAATTCTTTGGTCTACTGGATATCAGTGGAATGTTAGTATGTCCAGAGAAAGATCCAGAAAGTCTTACTTGGATTGTGCCTGCAGCTTTTTGATGCCCAGATACAAAAAAATGAAGAAGAAGAAAAAGAGAAATCAGATGTGCTGTTTGGTTTCTAGTGTTTGAGAAGCCAAACATTAAGAAAGAGACAAATAGAGCAGTTGGTGGTCCTGTTCACAGTTGTTTTGGTTTCTGTTTTCATGGGTTTTCTGTGGTTATTGTTCTTTGTCGTATTGTTCTTTTCAAACTGAGTTGCACATAAAATCCTTCAGTATACATTCCTTTGAATATTCTGCTCTTGGATACACATAGACCCTTGGATTTGGATATATAGGTCAGTGATTGACCTATGCATGCAATCTGCAACCTTGGTTTTCCTTTTAAGTATTTTTTCTATACTATTATAGTATTTATTCATATTTTATTTATTCAGTAATTTTGTCATTTATATTATTTTTTACTATTTCTAATTAGTTTTCTTTTTTTCATTTGTTTTTTATTTAGATTTTAGTTTTTAGAAATTTAACTTAAAAGTTATTTTTATATATAAAAGTAAATTGAATGCGTGTAAAAACCTGCAAACCTGTTCTGGCATAGCCATTTTATTCTTTGTGCATCACCTTCTGACCATCGGACAACAGAAAGCTGCATGGGCTGAAGTCACAGATATCTATCCTAAATCTTACTTGAACAATTAATACACATCATTATTCTGTTTTACAGTTCCAGCATTGTCCCAAAGTAACACAAGCCCATGTCTGTGTCGACGGTCTGCCTCTTTCTTCATTGTTTCTGTTAAGAATAATAATTTGTGAAGCACTAAATTGCTTTGAGGGATAGGACATTAAAGGGATTATTCTCATGTAATCCGCAGGTCCCTGTAGACGTGGACCTGATCACAGAACAGCACCAGTGTTACTGAAAAACAACAACTGCATATTTAAGAAGCACACACAGATACTTTAACTGCCTGTTGTTTTTTCTTGTCATCCCCAGTTAGCAACAGTAAATCCGTTTCCCCCCTGCTTAGTAAATTAGCGTGTTTAAAGGTTAGACAAGCACACGCTAATTATTTGATTATTTGGACGAGCTCTATCTAAAGAGCATTAAGTTGTGTCTCGGGCAGAAGGAAACCTCTCCAGGGAGGAATGAAGTCAAATTTTTAAAGAGCACGAGTGCTTTTAGCTGCACTACAGTTACAGAAAAGCACATTGAGCTCACTATGAAAGATAACTGGGGAATACTTCATACGAACCTTCATGAATAAGACATAAAAGACTTGATATAATGAGAAACAGATCGTATATGAATCAAAGTTTCATGACATTTTACCTATGTGAGGGTATATAAAATAATAATCTGTTGAGCAATGTGGTAGTTGTAGCTCAACTGGTAGAATATTGCGCTGGCAACATCAGTGTCATGGGTTTGATTCCAAGGGAACACGCATACTAATATGTATACATGAGCACGTTTGATAAAAGTGATAAAAATACATATAAATTATAATGTTTTATTATTGTTTTTCCTTTTTAGTTTTTAATAGTTTCAGTTTTGGTAAGATTTACTTTGTGCTGTTATGTTTTATATCTTTTTTATTTTAACCTTATCTTATTTTACGTTGAAGTTTTTCCATCTAATATTTATATTGAATGCCTTTTTTTTTTCAGTTTATGAAAACAATTATCAGTTTTTAGTTTTAGTTAACAACAGAAAGTTAGTTTGCGGTTGGTTTTCGGGCAGATCACTGATACAGGCTTGTGTTGTTGCAGGTGGAACTGACGGGCAGCAGCGTGTTTGACTACGTTCACCCGGGCGATCACGTGGAGATGGCGGAGCAGTTGGGGATGAAGCTTCCTCCGGGGAGAGGCCTCCTGTCTCAGGGCGGCGGGGCCGAGGACGGGGCCAGCTCTGCCTCCTCTTCCTCTCACTCTGAGACACCTGAGCCAGGTAAGATCACGTTAAAGGCTAAACATCATAGACTTGTGTTTTATAGTAATCTCCCTAGTTTGCATTTTATTTTATAAAATTATTATTTTGTTTAATTTTATTTACACATGAATTATGAATACATGGATTATTTCTATTCTATGTAATTTTTATTTTTTATTTTTTTATTAATACATTTCTGTTGTTGCACTTTGAGGGCACGTTTACACGACAACAATGTACGGAAAAGTTTTTACAGTCGTACAGACGACAACGTTGTCAAAATGATCCCCGTTCTAACGGACGGATCCGTCACTGTTTCCACAAGTCCATGTTTTTGGAGTTTATACAGAGATGATAGTGGTATCATTTTCAAAAATGTGGACTATGGAACCCATTTTCAAAGTTTTGAGTTTTCAGGCCCCCAAAGCGCCGTCGTCGTCGTGTAAATGAATGGCCAAAACGCATAAATAGTTTTTGGTTTTTAGTTGAAACCGGTGTTGTGTAAACGGACCCTCCGATTTTATTTTATTTTATTAATACATGGATCTCTGGAATACTGGATTATTGAATACTTGACTCCGATTGGTTCCAAAATGATTTAAGACTTCCTTTTTAATATCTGCATTCTGTGATTCGGTTATTTATTCAGTTTTTTCCTGCATTGTGTAAATCAGAGGGATTAGCATTAGAGTCATATTTTCAGCTGTAATATAAAAGTAAATAAATATTTTTTTATTATATTATTTATATATTTTTTCAAAATCAATTAATTTAGAACACAGTTGCTTTTATGCACAGTTATGCTTCAAATCTTTTCATCCAATGATCTTGAAGCGCCACATTCATGCTCTACTTTTTTGTTTATACTCAAAACCATGTTGCTTTGTGAAGTCTTTAGTATATCTACTATGTTACACCAAGCGGTCAATGTGACGCTCAGAGACTGTGAGTGGACCTTAGGATGCCAAAAGTGTGTGTTAATGGCATGCGTGACATGATATGCCTGATGAGTGTCTTCCGCTCGGCCCGAACTCTCCAGGGGCGGCCCGTGTGACGGCAGCACTGTAACACAGGCTTACCCTGCTCCCGAATTTAATTAGACGAATTGTATAGCAGGGATGAAAAGAGGTGACATTCCTCATTGGAATTCTTTTCAGGCCTCTTATAGACTTTGCCTTCCAAATGTTCCCATTTTCATTGTGTTGTACTGATGATAATTTAAGTATTAGGGGAAAATCCATTTATAAATTAAACAAAATGACTTGATATCCATCAGTCCCCGAGTTCATCAAGCTGTTCAAACATGAGGGAGATTGGCTGGTCGGCCCGGGTCTTCCGAGAGCTTCAGTAATTAGATCTGCCAAGGATTTATTCTTTGCTGATTGGAGCTTTAAATTAATTGAAGTTCCACATTTGTGGTTTTGTCCTTTTCGTGGCGTTTTCTTTTTCTTTTTTCTAGCCAGGCAGAAATTTCACACTGGCAGACTCAAAGTGTGTGTGTATTTGAGTGTTAATTTCTTGGCGGGAGTGAACGAAAAGGGTCTTTAATGGTTAGGCGGTTGGTCTGACGCTGAGATTTATTTATGTGTACACAGAATCATTAAAGATGTGCTTTACAATCAGATAAAGGGCACCGCGGTCTGTCTTCAAACACCAGAGCTTCATTTAGAAATGATGAGGACCGGAGACACATTCTGTACAACAAGTTTGTGGGGCTTATTTTTAAGGACAAAAAGTGCGTTTTACTCCCAGTTCGGGCAACATGGATTAAAGTCATTCAATCAATGACGTTGTCTAAATTGTAAGCTTGTTAGTATAGACCGCTTTCATTTGCTTTAATTTTGTTGCATTGTGCAAAGCCCCTAAAAGGACATGGTGATGATTAAGGAGACAAGAGGAATTTCACTTCTTTTGCATTCCCCCGAAAAACTTTTGCATCCGTTCGCAAAACTTTAGTGGTGTAAATAATATGAGGTTGGAAGGAAAAGTATTGGCTGCGTCCGAAAACTTAGTCAGCTGACTTGTTGCCCCGCTGCCCTATCAGGCAATGACTTTGCGGGCAGCGTTTGCGCACAAAGGTTCCTCCCGAAACTGATTTCAGACAGACTTCTGAGGCAGCGTATGGGGCGAGCTTCGGCGAAGACGAAGTGAATATTTAATGACTACAATAGTCATTTCTCGCTAGACATGACATCATAAGTGGAAAAGGTTTATCAAAAATGTGCAGTTACACACAAACTGACGACCAGCTGCAACTTTCAGATGCCATCTTTTTTTTTTCTAGCTCAACTGTCACAGAATGGAAAGCACAGGATTGTGGGATATCAAAGTCAGCGAAGGATACATATATGCTGCCTTCAAAAATCGATCAAATGAAGGTATCTCAGGAGACGGGAAGTGAAACTAACATTGCATTCGGACATGTCTTGATGCTTTCCGACCTTGGAACGCGTCCTCCGAAGGCAGCATTTGTCAGTTTTCGGACTCAGCCTATATTTCAGTGTATTTGCATTTTTCGGGGAACTCAATAGTTTTGAAAGCGAACGCCAGTGTTTCGTAAGTAGTGTTCATTTTGTCAGCTATTGTCTTAGTCCTGTATAAAATGTACTTTTCAGCTTTTTTCATATTTAGCCAACCTTGTCCTGTTTTTGTTTAGTCAAGTTTTAGTCAACTAAAAATGTCTGGGCATTTTGGTCTAGTTTTAGTCAATGAAAACCTAGTTACATTTTTGTCATGCTGCATAATGGTTAAACTGATAATAACAATTATTTTGCTCACGATTATAATCACAACGTTTGTTGTCATTTGCCGAATTTATTTTTACATCATCAGAATTATTGCACTTTCCCATGAGCACAAATCAAGAGAATGTCATGGTTTATTTTACCTCACTTAGTTTCCTGATTTATTATAGGCTGTTTATACAAATTAACACACTCTTTTCATTATGAAAACTGGTAAAACAAGAAACTTCTCTCAAAAATGAAAACAGTGAAATTCCTTATAGTAATTCCAAATGACTTTTTTTTCTATTAAAACAACAGCAAATTCAGCAACCACAATCGCAAACAACTTATACGAGATCCATGTTTGTATTTATTACAGTTCATCAGTGAGAAGCTTTGATCAGAGATTTAGTCACCCTAAACAGCGCAAGCGGCTCGTGACAGAACACAGATTGACTGAATGACATTTTCATTTAAGCAGAATATCTAAATGGAGATTGTTAAACTCCAGCTTACTTGTTTGTCATGTTATCTGTGTTTTCAGATCATCCGCGCTTCTTCTGCAGTGTAGAAAGAGTGTGCGCGCATGGTTGCCAGATTGCAAAGATTAAGTAAAACACCGGGTAGAAAATTAACAGAAAAGCTCTGATTGCATGGGGATTTAAACTCTTGACATCTGGCAACCGCAAGCATGAACGCTCATAGATGCCTGTATAGCAGTATGTGATATGTTGTCTCTTTTTTCCGACAAAAAAAGCAACAGATTTTGGTAAAATTTTAGTCTCGTCTTTTTTCGTCAACGCTATTTCATGTTAATATAGTCACAGCTAACATTTAATGACCTTGGTGTCATCTCCTCTTAGTCATGGGCATAAAGTTCGTTGACGAACATCTTTCGTCACAGTTTTCGTTGACGAAATTTACACTATTTGTAAGCGAACTAAGATTCTTGAGGAACGCAATACTTTTGCGAGAAAACACCAGTGTTTTGCAAGAGAAAGCAAAGGTTCTTAGGGGAGCGCAACACTTTTTTCTAAAGCAAAAAAAATGTTATCCTCTCATTTCATATTTCTTTCCATCACCATGTCCCATTACGGATATGTGACAAATGTGCCTAACGGGTCAAGAGTGAAATCGCTGGAAGTTTTCTTCAACTTCTACATTTCCCTGTCCTCTGTTTTTGATGCGCCAGCCAAGCCACTGTCACTGAGATGAATGGGAATGCTAATAGTTCTTTCTCCAGGTATTATAGTCCTCCTTTGGACACAAAATCTCCTTCTTGTTCTCTTTTTCTTTCTCTCTGAACGAATAGCAGGTTGAGCTGGAGTCAAGCGTTTCACCTCTTCTCATCTCCCTCATATGTTCGGGTGTCCTGCCTCTACACTAATTTTTTCCCTCCTATTTTTGCCTATGAATGTCACTTTTTTTCCATCTGCTCAACCTGCAGAGTAAATTGTGTTATCAACAGCCTATTTTAAATATCTGGCAGTGCAGAGTGGAGTGCGTGTTTTCCTTCATCACTGGCTCCATCTCTCTCTCTCAAGGGCATGACACGCCAGCAATAAAGCGGGAAACATGGCGGTATTTTTCTTGAAGATCGTAATCCTCCTGTTTGTCAACAAGAGGCTTTTGATGAGCATGAAAAGAAGCCTCCCGTTTGTGCATTAATAAAAGAAAACGATTCAAGCTTCATTTGCAATGAGATGAATTTGGAAACAGACCCGTGCGCCTGTGACATCTGTCCAATCGGCTTTGGCACATGAGAGCACATCACTCGCCGCACTGCTTTTACTTAGTTTCTTTAACCTAATCAGTCCTTTTAAAGGGGCGATTCATTCAGCATTCTTTGACATATTTTCCGTTCATCTAATGGCTAACGTAAGAAAATACCCTTTAAATTGGAGGTGTGTATTCAAGTCTTCATGATCATATTTTTTATTTATTTTGATTATTAGTAGCAGTAGATTATATAATTTTATAAAAATAACTATTTTCCTAAACACATAGAACCTCTATCATACCTGAACATAATAATTTAGATAGATAGACTGAGAGAACAAGATAATGTCAGATAGATAGATAGATAGATAGATAGATAGATAGATAGATAGATAGATAGATAGATAGATAGATAGATAGATAGATAGATAGATAGATAGATAGATAGATAGATAGATAGAGAGATAGAGAGATAGATAGAGAGATAGATGTTACTTTACATCTTTGAATGCAGCTTATCATAATTGAAATCTGTAATTTAGCATTTCATAATCATTTAATTTATTAAATTAA